TGCAGCAGCAGCAATAGCAGCAACAGTGCTACCTGCTGCAGCAGCAGTAGCAGCAACAGCAACGCTACCTGCAGCAGCAGCAATAGCAGCAACAGCAGCACAACCTGCAGCAGCAGCACTGGCAGCAGCAGCGATACCTGCATTAGCAACACTGGCAGCAGCAGCGCTACCTGCAGCAGCAGCACTTGCAGCAGGAACAGCAGCAGCAGCAGCAGCTACTGCAGCAGCAGCAGCAGCAACACAGAAGGCAGCGTCTGGGCTGAGACAGAAGAAGGAGACACAAAACCCGAAGAGACAAATGGAGGCGGTGGGGCCTTAAGAAATAAACTGCTGCTGCTGCTGTTGCTGCTGCAGCTGCTGCTGCAGCTGCTGCTGCAGCTGCTGCTGCAGCAGCGTCTTGTTCTGAATAAAGAAGTTTCATTCCTTGTTTTGTTCCTTTGTCTTGCGTTCCAAATAAAAATATATAAGGTAAAAATAAATGATTTATTTATTTAATTAATAAAAATTAATTTAAGTAATTAAAATTGTGCTTTCTTTGTTCTTACACTCAGCCATTTATTTATTATAAAAAGGGCCAAGGCTGCTGCTGCTGCTGCTGCTACTGCTGCTGCTGCTGCTAGTGCTGCTGTGCTGGTGCTGCTGCTGCCGCTGCTGCAGCCGCTTCTCTTGTTGCTGTCGCTGCTGCAGTAGCTACTGCTGCTGCTGCTGCTGCTGCTGCTGCTGCTGTTTGCACTGCGGCTGCAGCACTTAGTTTGTAAGGGAGAATTGCTTTGATTACTTATCATTAATTAATCAATTCAGTAAATAATTTAATTAATTAAATTAATTAAATTAAGTAATTTAATTGATCAAATTAATTAAATAATTAAAGTAAGTAATTAACTTAATTGTTTTGCTGCTGCAGAAAAGGAGACAGCACCGCCTCTGCTGTTTCCTGCTGCTGCTGTGGCTTTCTCCCTGTCTCTTTTTGAAAAGCAGCAGCAGCAGCAGCAGCAGCAGGAACAACAACAACAACAACAACAGCGGCAGCAGCAGCAAGAAGCAAATAGAGCGGAAGGAGCAAAAGAGGCAGAAAAGGAAAATTCGGAAGGAGGCAAAAAAGACAAGTCCCTTCGTAAGATTTTATTAATTTCTTTTTTATTTTCAATGAGTTTTAAATTAATTAATTTACATTTTTCTTTTTTCTTTTTGCATCTTTGATTTACTTTGAATTAATTTACTTATTTCTTTCATTTTTCATTTGTTTTATTATTTCTTTTCAAACTTTTTTCACTTTTTTTTGTCTCCTCATATAAATATTTATTTTTCTTTTATTTTCAAAAAATGTTTACTTGTTTTTACTTCCACTTTTGTCCACTTTTTTTTCACTTTCATCTCCTTTTATTTCATTAAATGTTTGTCTGTGTCTTTGCCATTAATAATATGCCATTAATGCCATTAATGGCATAAATGGCATTAATTCCATTAATGCCATTAATGGCATTAATGGCATCTGTGGTCCTTTAATGCCATTAATGGCATTAATGGCATTTGTGGTCCTTTGAGGTTTTTCTCGGGATTCTTCATGAATTAAGAAAAACAATTCAATATTTTTTTGACCTTTTTCCGTTTCTTGATTCGCATTTGCTTCTCATCTATTTACTTATTCATTTATTCTTTATTTGCTTCACTGAGAGCTTCTCATCGAGGGTTTAGGGTTTAGGGTTTAGGGTTTGCGTCTGTGAGCAGCAGCCAGCAGCACTTCGCTGCTGCTGGCCGCCCTGGGAAGCCCCAGCAGCAGCGCCGCTTCGCTTTGGGGTTTATGGAAACCCTAAACCCTAACCCTAAACCCTAAACCCTAAATCCTAAACCCTAGAGCTGAATGGCAAAGTCCTTTTCAACTGATGAACAAGAACAAAAAAGCAAAACGCCGTTTGAATTCAACCCCAGGATTGCTAGGGTTTAGGGTTTTGCAGCGAAGCAAGGGTTTGCTAGGGTTTAGGGTTTCGCAGCAAAGCAAGGGTTTGCCAGGGTTTAGGGTTCTGCAGCAAAGCAAGGGTTTGCTAGGGTTTAGGGTTTATTAGTGTTTAGGGTTTGCCTTCGTTGGGGGCTGACTAGGGCTTAGGGTCTAGGGTCTGCCGTGCTACAACTAGTCCGCAAGTCCCAACTAGGGTTTAGGGTTTAGGGTTTAGGGTTTCTGCGTCCCTCGAAATAAATGACTTTCTGAAAATGCAAAAGCCCCAAAAGTGAACTTAAATGAATTAAAACAAATGCATGCGCATGCATTTGCAAAAGAACCAAAAGATAAACTTCTGCATGCAGCTGCAGCAAAAGAGTCTGCTGCAGCATTTGTTTCTTCATTTATGATTTATTAATTAATTTATTTATTTATTTATTTATTTGTTTGGTTTGCCCCTCGCAGGGCCAGCAGCCCACGAGCTGCTTTGCTGCGAAGAGCCAAACCCTAAACCCTAAACCCTAAACCCTAAACCCTACGCCCTAAACCCTAAACCCTCGCGAAAGCCTCAAAGGAGGCTGCCGTCGGAGCCTGCACGCAAACCCTCGCAGCCACGGCGCCCCGCTGCTCCCCCGCGCCCCCTCAAACCCTAGGGTTTAGGGTCTAGGGTTTAGGGTTTGCAAATTAGGGTTTAGGGTTTAGGGTTTAGGGTTTGTACCTTGTTCAGCTGCATATGCGTAATGCATTTCGCTTATGTCGTCTCCAGCCACCACCCGCCGCCAGCCGCCGCGGTAGCAGCAGTAAACTAAAGACAAAAAAATAAAAATAAATAATTAAATTTAATTTAATTTGATTAATTAAATAAATTTAAAAATAAATAAATGTAATTAATTAATTTTTTGTATTCATTTGTTTGTTTGTTTGTTTCGGTTAAAAGTTATTTTTAAATTAAAAAAACATTTTAAATTTAAAAAGAAATGCATTTTGATTTAAATATTTAATTCAAAGAAAGAAATGCTTTTTAATTCAAAAGGAGATATTTCTAAATTTAAATTTCTAAATTTAAAAAGGAACTTTTAAATATTACTTTCAATTAAACAGGGACACATTAAACCCTAAAAGAGTGTTTTAGTGATCCAAAAAGCCTTTTTGGGCGGAAAAAACCCTTTTTGAATGCAGAAAAGCCCCTTCAAAACCCTAAACCCTTGTGCAAACCCTAAACCCTCTTCTTGCAAACCCTAAACCCTTTCAAAACCCTAAACCCTTATAAAATTAAAAGTAAAGACCTCTGCAAAGGCCCCCCGAGCCGCCGTCTCTGTGGGCCGCGTGGTAAATGGCCCTTCGCCCCAACTCAACAGCTTCCGCCTCGCTCATGTCCCTGCAGCAACACAAAATCCTGCTGCTGCTGCTGCTGTTGCTGCTGCTGCTGCTGCTGCTGCTGCTGCTAGGGGTGCTGCTGCTGCTAGGGGTGCTGCTGCTGCTGGGGATGCTGCTGCTAATGACGGGGGTGCTGTGGGTGGTGCGGTGGTGGTAGTAGTGCTGCTGCTGCTGCTGCTGCTAGTGCTGCTGCTGCTGCTGCTGCTGCTGCTTACCATCTATAGCTGTTGTCTAGAACACCATAGGCGAAAGTGCTGCCGCTGCCGCAAGAAAAGAGATTTCCCTTGAGGCTGCAGGAGCAGAACCACAAACCCTTTTTTAGGGTTTGCTGCCATCTCTTTCCATGCCCTAAACCCTAAACCCTAAACCCTGGACCAAATTCTAAAGATTGGAACCCTCAGCTTGAAACCCCAAACAACGGACCCGGAAATTGCATATAAACCCTACGCCCCAAACTCTCAGCGGCCCTTCAAATCCCAAACCCTAAACCCTAAACCCTAAACCCTAAACCCTAAACCCTCACGGACCGGGTGGCCTTGTCGTCTACGTAGTAGAGCTCGGGCTCTTCGCTGTTTGGATTCCAGCCAGCAATCATTGTCCCTAAAAGGGGAATTAATTAATTCAATTATTATTTATTTTAAATTAAATAAAAAAATAAATCAAATTAAATTACCTTGAATAATTTAATTTAAATCAATAAATTTTGAGAACTGGAAAAAACCCTTTTTGAATGCAAAAAACGCCCTTTCAAAACCCTAAATTCTCTTCAAAACCCTAAACCCTTTTCAAAATAATAAATAAATTAAAATAAAGTAAAATAAATTAAAATAAAAAGACAAACCGCAGCAAAGGCCATAGCCTCTCCAGGCGTAGAAAATGTTTGCCAAAAGATTCGAAGCTGCTGCCACAGGAATCTTTTCCTGAAAATAAAATAAATAAATAAACTAAAATAAATTAAACAAAGTAAATAAAATAGATCAAATTAAATTAATTTAATTAAGTTAATTGAATTAAACTAGTTAAATTAAAGTTGAAGTTGTGCGAGAAAAAAGAAATTGAAATGGAAGAGAAAAAAGGAAATAAATTGAAGTGGAAAAAAACAAGAATGAATTAAAGAAATAAAGTGGAATTACACAAAAGAAATGAAATAATAAAAGAAATAAACGGAAATAAATAATAAATAAAATGAAATACGTAAATAAAATGGATAACATACATAAAATGGATAAAATAATAAAATGGATAAAATACATAAAATATATAAAATAAATAAAACAAATAAAATATGTAAATTAAATGAGAGACAAAAGGAGGAAAAGGAAGCAAAAGGAAATCAAACAAAAAAGTAAAACAAAACAAATAAGTAAAATCAGTTAAATCAAATAAAGGAAACAAATCAAACTCACAAAAATTAAATCAAGCCAATCGAACTAAATTAAATTAAATTAATTAAATTAAATTAATTAAATTAATTAAATTAATTAATCTCACTTGATTTCTGTGTTCAAATAAAGCGCAAAGTTTGGACAAGTACCTTTCCCAGTAACTGCAGTCCGCAGCGCCCCCAGCCATAGTGCCTAAATAATAAATAAATAAATAAATAAATAAATAAATAATAAACAATAAACAAACAAACAAATAAATAAATAATAATAAATAAATAAATAATAATAAATAAATAAATAAATAAATAATAAATAAAAAGCCCTAGGAAAGGGACCTGAAATGATGCCCCTAGACCCCAAACCCTAGACCACAAACCCTAGACCCCAAACCCTAAACACCAAACCCTAAACCCTAAACCCTAAACCCTAAACCCTAGTAAATGGACCTAAAATGATGCCCCTAAACCCCAAACCCTAGACCCCAAACCCTAAACCCTAAACCCGAAACTCCAATAAATGGACATGAAATGATGCCTCCTAAGCCCCAAACCCTAGGCCCGAAACCCTAACCCCTAAACCCCAATAAATGGACCTAAAATGATGCCCCTAAACCCCAAACCCTGGACCAAAAACCCCAAACCCTAAACCCTAAACCCCAAACCCTAAACCCTAGTAAATGGACCTAAAATGATGCTGGAAATCTCCAAAACTTTGCAAACTGTTTGGCTGCTGATGGCGACGCCCATGGAGGCGCGGCTGTCGACGGCAATTACAATTCCTCCCTGAAAACAAAAAAAGAATTCTAAACCCTAAACCCTAAACCCTAAACCCTCATAAATGGACTTAAAATGAAGTTAAAGTCAACTCGTCACGTTCAAAATTCGCGCGAAAAAATAGATGAAGAAGAAGACCCAACACACAAAAAAAGCCTTTTCTTGATGCAGCCCCCAAACCCTAAACCCTAAACCCTAGACCCTAAACCCTAGACCCTAAACCCTAAACCCTCAACCCTAAACCCTAAACTCTACACCCTCGAGACGTCTTTTAAACAGTATCCAGCGCGACGTTGCCCTTCTCTCAACAGACCCCGTAAACCCTAAACCCTAAACCCTAAACCCTAGAAACACCTTGTAGATAAAGGCCAGGGTTGTAGTCCCCTTTTTAAACCCCATTGAGGGGCCCCCCGAGGCAGGGGCCCCCGGGGGCCCCATGTGGAGACTTAAGGGGGAAGGGAGTTTATTAGGGTTTAGCTGAAAGAGCTTCGAGGCGAAGAGGTCCGGCTGCATGCATGCGCCACAAAACGAGGGTTTAGGGTTTAGGGTTTAGGGTTTTGGGGCAGCCGGCGGGGCGCCGGCAGCGACGCTCTCAAGCATTAGAAGAGTGGGGTTTAGGGGCTAGGGTTTGGAGAGGCTAAGTTCTAGGGTTTGGAGGGCTTAGGGTTTGGAGGGTTTGGGGTTTGATAGTTTGCGGTTTGGAGGAGTTTGAGGGTTTACAGTCTGCAGCGCGTAGGGTCCAGCGGCTCGAGAGCCTAGGGTCTAGGGTTTGGCGGGCAAGGGTCTGGGGTTTAAGGGTTTAGGATTTAAGGGTTTAGGGTTTGCAGAGATTAGGGTTTGCAGCATCTCGCCTGCGGCACTGGGGCGAGGGTGAAGCTGCCGGGAGTAAATTCAAAAAGATCTTCATTTGTGTCCTTTTTAAATTCATTTGGAAAGTCTGGAGAATCCAAAAAGCTGAAGTCTGCGGTGTACGCCATTTGGGGTGTATCTGCAGCTCAGGAAACCCAGCGCGCATATACATGCAGCTGCGCGGCGGAAAAACGCAAAAACTCCGGGAAATTGGATTTAAAAACGCGGAAAAGCCAAAGGAAAGAGATAATTAATTGAAATGAGTCATTTAAGTGAGAGAGGGAAGCGGAGCAACTGCAAACGCCGCAGCTGCGGTGTCTGTTCTGCCGCCGCCGCGAGCGCTGCAGAGGCTAAAATGAAGGCTTTTGGAGCTTTCCCGGAAATAAAACTTTTATTTTTGCAAAGAGAAAGAGAAATAATACTCTCCGTTTTGCAAAAAGAAGGAGAAAACTCACCAAAATCCCACGTCGAGGCGCTGTAGGGGGGAAACGTGAACCGCACGGCGGCAGCGGCAGCTTTCGCAGAGAGGAAAGCGGCACTAAATGAAAGCCTACGGGCTTTTCAGGTTTTCTGCAGTTTAATTAAGTCTTCTTAATGAAATAAAAAGAAAAAGAGCTGCTCCTTAACGCCTTTTTCAGCTGCTTTCCTCTGCATGCGCCGCTGCTGCTGCTGCTGCTGCTGCTGCAGCAGCGCCGAACCGCCGACGACACGCTGCGGTGTATAGCCACTTGAAAACAAACAGGCAGGGAAATTATCAGCTCGAAAAGAACACTTACTTCATTTTATTCTTTATTTGAGGCTTTTTCGACCCACAGCCCCCGTTTTCCTGTTGCTGCTGCTGCTGCTGCTACTGCATTTTTCGGGTTTTGTTTGTCGGCTGCTTCTCTAGCGCTTCAAATCAAAGACTCTTGGCGGAATAAAAAGCCATTTAAATGGAGTTATGTCTCTAGCCAGAAGTCCAGCAGCAGCAGCAGCAACAGCAGCAGCAGCAGCAGGTTAAAGTCCAAAGAAACAAAAAGGATCGAAACTGTCTTTCATTATTTTCTGCAATGGCAGCAGCAGTAAGCAGCAGCAAAACTCTTTTTTCCATTTATTTCTTTTCTTTTTAAATGTTTTTATTTTTTCTTTTTTAAATAATTAAAAAACATTTTAATTAAAAACAAACTAAAAATTAAACTGTTTCTTGCTCTTACAGTTGCTCCTTCGTTTGTGCATTGGTATTTTATTTAATCAAATAAATACTTAATTTATTTTAATCAATTAATTACTATTTATTTATTTATTTATTTATTATTTATTTTAATCGATTAAATACTATTTATTTACAGCTTATTTATTTATTTATTTATTTATTTATTTATTTATTTATTTATCTAAATGTTATTTACTCATTTAAAATTTATTTATTATTTACTTATTTATTTGTTTATTTTCTTATTTTCATTTATTATTAACTTGACTACAAGTTTATCTGATATTGTTTGTTTATTATTTATTTATTATTTATTATTTATTATTTATTTATTTATTTATTTATTTGTTGGATTGCAGTTGTTTTTTTATAATTACATTTTCCTTTTTACCCTTTTGTTCTTTCCTGCTGCTGCTCCTTTGCTGCTGCTGCTGCTGCTGCTCATTGGCTGCTGCTTCTGCTGCTGTTGCTCCTCTGCTGCTGCTCCTCTGCTGCTGCTGCTGCTGGTAGCATGCTGCTGCTGCTGCTGCACTGCTGCTTCTGCTGCTTCTGCCTGCTGCTGACAACGTGCTGCTGCTGCTGTTGTGCTACCGCTGCTGCTCGTTTGCTGCTGCTGCGCTGCAGCCAACATGCTGCTGCTGCGCTGCTGCTGCGCTGCTGCTACTCTCAAATATTATTACCATACTATTATTATTATCATTATTATTATTTTATTTTTATTTTATTTATTTTATTTTTATTTTTATTTGATCAAATTAATTTTTCTTTTTTTGCAGACTGAGTGGGAGCTGCAGGCAGCAGCTCCTGCAGGTTGCTTCTCTGCTGCCGCTTTTTTCGAGTAAGATTTATTTATTTTATTTTATTTTATTTCTCTTATTTAATTTCTTTTTATTTAATTTCTTTTATTTCATTTCTTTTTATTTTATTTCTTTTTGTTTTATCTTCTTTTCTCGTCTCCCTTTTCTGTCTCCTTTTCCTCTTTTTGCAAGGCTGTCGGGTCTGTTCGAAGGCTTGCTGCTGCTGCTGCTGCTGCTGCTGCTGCTGTCTGCGGGCTTAGCAGCAGCAGGGCTTAGCAGCAGCAGGAGCAGAGGCTTTGCGTGCTTGTTTACTGCTGCCTGCATGCAGAGCAATAGAGGCGGTAGCTGCAACACCAGCAGCAGCTGCTGCAACAGCAGCACCAGCAGCAGCAACAGAAGCAGCAGCAGCAGCAGCAGCAGCAGAAGCAGCAGCAACCATCTCTGATTTCCGCCTTTCTCGCTTTCTCTCCTCAACTGTAGTGACAGCAAAACTGAAGCTCCTAAAAGTTAGATGCTAAACCCTAGCTAGCTAAACCCTAGCTAGCCAAACCCTAGCCAGCCAAACCCTAGGTAGCCAAACCCTAGCTAGCCAAACCCTAGCTAGCTAAACTCTAGCTAGCGAAACCCTAGCTAGCCAAACCCTGGCTATCTAGCTAAACCCTAGCTAGCTAAACCCTAGCTAGCTAAAATCTGCCAACTACAGGCTAGCTGCTAGTTATTCTGTGATCCCATTGGCTGCTGCTGCTCGTTTTGTTTTGCTGCTGCTGCTGCTGCTGCTGCTGCAGGAGGACGCTGCTCGTTTGAGGCTTCAGCTGCAGGAGAATCCGCAGTGGCAGATTTTCCTCAGCCCCTGCGCATGCAGCAGCAGCAGCAACAGCCGCAGCAACAGCAGTAGCAGCAGCAGCAGCAGCAACAGCAGCAACAGAAGCAGCAGCAACAGCTGTAGCAGCACTTGCCAGTGCAGCATGGGAGACCTTGAGGGGTTTAGCCTCTCTGTGCTGCTGCCGGGACGTTTGCTGCCTCTTTTGCTGCTACAGCGAATCCTCGAAACCCTGCAGCAGCACAACTGCTGCACACATAGGTCTGCTGCTGCTGCTGCTGCTGCTACTGCTGCTGCTTCTGCTGCTGCTGCTGAGGCTACATATCGTGTTGCAGTGCCGCGGCTATTTCATGCAGCAGCAGCTGCTGCTGCTGCTTGCAGACGCTCTGTCGGCACTAGATCTCTGCTGCTGTTTTTGCTGCAGCCTTGCTGCTGCCAGCACATTGCTGCTGCAGCCTTGCTGCTGCCAGCACATTGCTGCTGCAGCCATGCTGCTGCAGCCTTGCTGCTGCAGTACTGCTGCGAGCTTTGTTCCTTTGCCTCTCGCCGGGTCACCTTCCGAGAGATTCTGCTGCTGCTGCTGCTGCTGCTGCTTCTGCTGCTGCTGCTGCTGCTGCAGCATGGAGACAGAGCTGCAGGGGCCCCTGGTTTATGGCGCCCCCTCTCGCCGTTTGCTACTGAAGGTCTCCTTCGGTTTGCTGCACTGCAGCAGACCTCCTTGGTAAGTGCTGCTGCTTACTTTTGTGTCTGCTGCTGCTGTTGCTGCTGCTGCTCGGCTGCTGCTGGTGTTGTCGCTGTTCCTGCTGCTGCTTTGCTGCTGCTACTGCTGCTTTTCTGCTGCTGCTCCCTCGCTGCTGTTGCTTTTCTGCTGCTGCTCCTTTGCCGCTGCTGCTTTGCTGCTGCTGCTTCTTTGCTGCTGCTGCTGCTGCTGCAACCTAGAGCGCCGAAGCAGCAAGAGGACAAAACCTCAAAAGCAGCAGCAGCACCTTTTATTTCTTTTTTTTAGTCTTTTTAATCCTTTTTTATTTATTTAAATATTCTTTTTATTTCTTTTTTTCCCTTTTTTGCTGCCTTTTCAGGCAGCAAATTTTGCTGCTGCTGCAGCAGCTGTCTCTTCTTTTTGCTGCTGCTCTTCCCTGGAGTTTCCGCCGCCGCAGCTTTGTGCGTTTTTTATTTTTATTTTTATTCTTGTTTTTATTTATTTTATTTATTTGTTCTTTTATTCTTATTTATTTATTTTATTTATTGGTTCCATTTGTTTTATTATTTCATCTATTTTATTTGTTTTCATTTATTTTAGTTTATTTGTGTAATTCTCTTTATTTGTTTGATTTGTTTTAGTTATTTTTATTTCTGTTCTTTTGTTTATTTATTTATTCATTTATTTTATTTCTTTATTTCCTTTATTTCTTTATTCTTCTTTTTGCCTTATAAGTCTTTTTTTGTTTCCCCTTTTCCCCTTTTGTTTATTTTTGTCTCTTTTTATTTCTTTTTTATTTCTTTGATCTTTCTAGATTTCTTTCCTCTTTTTCTTTTTCTTTCTTTCTTTTCTTCTAAAGGTGCTTTTTTGCTGCTTTTGCTGCAGGAGGTTCGCTCGAAGCTCAACACGGCGCTGCTGCTGAGTGTGGGAGAACCTGCTGCAGCAGCAGCAACAGCAGCAGCAGCAGCAACAGCAGCAACAGCAAATGTCCCTGAATGCAGCAGCACGCTGGCTGAGAGTCAGACACAGGTAAGACCAGCAGCAGCAGCAGTAGCTGCACAGGCAGCAGCAGCAACAGCAATAGCAACAGCCACTGCAGCAGCAATTGCAGGAGCTAATGCACCAGCGACTGCAGCAGCAACTGCAGCAGCAACTGCAGCGGCGACTGCAGCAACAACTGCAGCAGCAACTGTAGCAGTAACAACAGTAGCAACCACAGCAGTGCCAGCAACTACAGCAGTAACAGCAACTACAGCAGCAGCAGCAACTGCAGCAGCAGCAGCAACTATAGCAGCACCAGCGACAGCAACTGCAGCAGCAGCAGCGTGTCTTTCTGTTCCGTCCTTTTGCTGTTAGGGTAAAGAGCAGCAAGAAGGTCTGCTGCTGTCTCTAGCCTTCCTTCTGTACTGCGTCGACCGCCAGGGGTGAGCAGCAGCAGCAGCAGCAGCAGCAGCAGCACCAGCAGCAGCAACTGCAACAACTGCAGCAACTGCAGCAACTGCAGCACCAGCTGCAGCAGCAGCAGCGGCAGCAGCAAGAGCTGCAGCAGCTGTTACTGGTGCAGCAGCAGCTCCAGTGTATGTACGCGCATGCAAAAACGTCCATGTGGCCGCCAGCCTCTTTATGATAAGTTTTTTGCTTATATTTATTATTTTCTTTTAATTTTATTATTTAATTATGTCTATTTATTTATTATTAAAATAAAGGAAAAGCAAAGCTGCCTGACTGCTGTGTGGCGGACTGCTGCTGTTACTCTTGCTGCTCCTGCTGCTGCTCCTGCTGCTGCTGCTGCCAACTCGTGCTGCTGTTGTTGCTGCTGTTGCTGCTCTGCTGCAGTTACCGTGTGTCTTTTCAGCAGACGTCCAGCAGCACACTGCAGCAAGAAGCAGGGGCAAAAAGCGAAGGCCATGCTGTGGCAGTTGTCTCACCGGTGAGGCGCACGAGCTGCTGCTGCTGCCTCTGCTGCTGCTGTTGCTGCTGCTGCCGTTGCTGCTGCAGCTGCTGTTAAAGGTTTGTGCAGTTCCACAAACACTGGTTGGCTGGGCTGACCCCGAGAGGCAGCCCCCAGAAGCTTGCTGCTGCTCCTCCTGCACCTGCTGCTGCTGCTTCTGAGCTGCTGCTGCTGCTGAGTTGCTGCTGCTGCTGCTGCTGCTGCTGATAGGACCTGCCAGCTGCAGAAGTCGACTTTTACGCACCGCCGCTCCCAGAGAGGGAGGTGGACGCTCTGCTGCCTCTCTTGGGTGAGCCGCAGCAGCAGCAGCAGCAGCAGCAGCAGCTGCTGCTGCTGTTGCTGTTGCTGTTGCTGGTGTTGTTGTCCATCCTGCCGCAGATGCCTTTGCTGCCCCTGATGTCCTTGCTGCCGCTGCTGCTTTTGTCCTGTAGCAGGCGTCTTTGCTGCTGCCGGTGTCCTTACTGCTTCTCAAGCTGCTGCTGCTGCTGCTGCTGCTGTTCTTCGTGTCTCAAGCTTCTTTGCGGCTGTCTATATCGCTGCTGCTGCTGCTGCTGCTGCTGCTGTCTTTGCATTTCTTGGTCCTGCCACTGCTGCTGCTGCTTTCATTGCTGCTGCTGGCCGCGTGAAGGCTTGGCCTGGCTGATGGCCTTCATCAGGCCCGCTGCTGCTCTTCTTCTTGCTGCAGTTGCTGCTGTTGCCGCTGCTGCTGCTGCTGCTGCTGCTGCTGCTGCTAGTCTAAGGAGTTGATTGCTGCTGCTCCTTGTTTAGGTCTCCGCCGGTGGCAAGTTAGGCGCTTTGCTGCTGCGTGTCCTTTTCACCCAATCAGCAGCAAAAGACAAAAGAGAAGCAGCAGCAGCAGCCGCAGCCGCAGCAGCAGCAACGACAGATGCAGCAGCAGCGACAGCAGCAGCAGCGATGAGTCAGAGGAATTCTACAGCCTTCAGGCGGCCCCGCAGGAAACTGTCATCTCAGTGCCGCTCGGCAGCAGCAGCAGCAGCAACAGCAGCAGCAGCAGCAACAGCAGCAGCAGCAGCTTGAGCGGCCCGTTTTGTCTGTAAGCCGTTTAGGGTTTAGGGTCTCGGGCACAGTGTTTCGGACTTAGGGTTCAGGGTTTGGGGTTTAGAGTTTACGGGTTAGGGTTTAGGGTTTAGGGTTTAGGGTTTAAGCTGTAAGGTTTTGAGTCTAGGGTTTGTGTGAAGTCTGACTGCCTGTGACTCAGGGTCCTCCAGTCTACGGAGGGTGGGCTTTCAGTCATAGCCTTAGGGTTTAGGGTTTAGTGTCAAGGGTTTAGGGTTTAGGGTTTAGGGTTTAGGGTTTCTATTGTTTGCTTCATACTCAGTACCACGCAGCACATTGCTGAATGCGAGTTAAAGGCCCTGGAAAGGGCCTTAGGTTTGGAGCGTAGAGTTTAGGGTTTAGGGTTTGCGGTTTAGGGTTTAGGGTTTAGGGTTTAGGGTTTAGAGTTTTGACTTGGAATTCTTTTAGGAAGGGCTTTCACGAAAATAAAGGCACAGCTGCTTCAAACGCGTTTCTTTGCTGCCTTCTGCGTCGAAGACAGGTAACTCTAAACCCTAAACCCTAAATCCTAGATCTGAAGCATAAACTCTGGAATCTTGTGAGGCGGTAGTAGCCCTAAACCCTAGCTCCTAAACCCTAAACCCTAAACCCTGTGTATTTCCTCTCCTTTTAAGCCTCTTTATAAAGAAGGGATTTTGAATTTACTGCTGCCTTCAAAGGTTTAGAATTTAGAGCTTAGGGATTAGGGTTTAGGGTTTAGGGTTAAGGGTTTAGGGTTTAGGGTTTGCGAGGCGCTTCAGAAAGTCCAGTGTAACAATGGTCGGTGCTGCTGCGACTTCCCCAAAAGGCATGCAGCAGCAGAGCTACCAGCTGGAGGCAGCAGCAGCAGAAGCAGCAGCAGCAGCAGCAGCGACCAGCGAACCTACGAGAGGTGAATTGCTGGGAATCAGAAACTGTAGCAGCAACAGCAGCAACAGCAACGGCAAGAGCAGCAACAGCAGCAGCAGCAGCAACAGAAACGGCCGCAGCAGCAACAGCAGCAGCGGCAGCAGCGGAAGACGCCACCAGGGGACCTGGGAGCTTTTGCTGGTGCAGCAGCCGCAAGTAACCCCGCAGTTTGCTGCTGCTGCTGCTGCTGCAGCAGAAGCAGCAGGAGGCCTTCTCAAGGGTGGGTAAAAGCCCCAGCTTTTTTCGCCTTGAAGCTGCATGCGTTTACAGCAAACTTGCAATCATCTGCTGTTGCTGCTGCTGCTGCTGCTGTTGCTGCTGCAGCTGGTCAACGCGTTTCTCCCTCGGGGGAATTTGCTGCAGCAAGGTTCTATGTGCTGCTGCCTAACGGGGCTGCCGCTGCTGCACTGCGAGGGGAGCTGCAGCGCATAGCAGCAGGTGAGCTGCTGCTGCGGCTGCTGCCGCTGCTGCTGGTGCTGGTGCTGGTGCTGCTGCTGCTGCTGCTGCTGCATCAACTGGCAGCTTTTGCTGCTGGTGCGCAGAGAACGGCGGAGACTTTATGCTGCGGAGACGAAGCGTGGCCCCTTTGTGTCTTCAATTGGTTTGCTTTGATATGGTATTGCTGCTGCTGCTGCTGCTGCTGCTGCTGACGCTGCTGCTGCTACTGCTGCTGCTGACGCTGCTGCGGCTGACGCTGCTGCTACCGCTGCTGCTACTGCTGCTGCGAGTTGCTGCTGGGCAGGCTGAACTAAAGTATGAAGGCAGTGTTTTGTTACTCGCAGTGAGCAGCAGCAGAAGCAGCAGCAACAGGCAGCAGCAGCAGCAGCATGCGGTGCTGTTGCTGCAACTTTTCAGGACTCAACATTGATAGAAGAAGAAGTGATTGATGAAATAGCTGCCCTGATAGGTCAGGAGACAAACCATAAACCCTAAACCCTGAGCCATAAACCCTAAACCCTAAACCCTAAAGCGTACTCATTCCCTTTGGGTCAGAACGCTAGGCGTAAAGACGCGAAAATTGGCTTTCAGGTTTAGGGTTCAGCGCTTAGAGTTTAGGGTTTAAGATTTAGGATTTAGCGTTTAGCGTTTAGGGTTTAGGGTTTAGGGTTTAGGGTTTAGGGTTTAGGGTTTGTGTTCCAGGGAAGGAGAAAGAAGTGTCTGCCATAACTCGCGAGGCCATGCGAGGTTTTCTTCCTTTTTCGGAAAGTTTCAAAAAGCGACTCAAGCTGCTCAAAGGAGTCAAAAGGTAGCCCTTGCTGCTGCTGCTGCTGCTGCTGCTGCCGCTGCTGCTCCCGCTGCTGCTGCTGCTGCTGCTGCTGCTGCTACTGCTGCTGCTACTTTTCTTCCTGCTGTTGGAGCTATTGTTGCTGTTGCTTGCCTTCTTACGGCTGTTGTTAAGGCTGCTGCTGCTTCTGCATCCCCTACTACGGCTGCTGCTGCTCCCGTCCTGCTGCTGCTGCTGCAGTTGCTGCTGCCTTTCTTCCTGCTGGTGCTGCGTTTCTTGCTGCTGTTTGGGCATCTCTTCTTGTGGCTGTTGCTGCATTTCTTGCTGCTGCTGCTGCTGCTTGTGTCGCTGCTGCCGTTAATGTTGTTCTTGTTCCTGCTGTTCGTGCTGCTGCTGCTTCTGTCGCTAACTTCGTCGCTGCTCCCTGCTGCTGCAGCGGCTGCTGCTGCTCTTCTTGCTGCTGCTGCTTGTGTTTCTGTTGCTGCTGTTGCTGCTGCTGCTGCATTTCTTGCTGCGGCTGTTTGCCTTTCTGTCGCTATTTTTGTGGCCGCTGCTCCTTTTCTTGCTGCTGCAGCTTTTCTCAGTGCTACTCTTCTTGCTGTTGCTGCCCCTGCTTCTGCTGCGCTGCTTCCGCAATACCTGCTGCTGCTGCTGCTGCTGCTGCTGCCCGCAGCTGCGGCTTTTTTGTTTGTTTTGTGTCTGTACACTAGAAAAGATTCATTTGCAATTAAAAGGAATTAAAACTAAAATATAGTTTTTAAATTTGAAACTTTTAAAAACTATTTTTTAAACTGCAAAATTTCGGGCTTTTTACCTGCCTCAAGTTTTCGCATTTTGAAATAAAAAATAAAAACAAGTAAACTAATTTATTTTATTATTTTATTTTATTTTTTATTTTTATTTTTATTTATTTTTATTTATTTTTATTTTTATTTTGCAGATCTGAATTGGCTTTGGTTAGCCAGCGGCTGCAGCTAACAAAAGGTGCTGCTGCTCTTTGCTGCTGCCTGCAGCAGCAGGGTTTATTTGTGTCAGTTTTGAGTGGGGGTTTTCTTTTATTTGCAAATGAATTAAAAACAAAATTAAAAGTTCCTTTTGCTGCAGCAAATGCCCTGGTCTTCTCCGAAAAAGGTACTCCCAAACCCTAAACCCTAAACCCTAAACAGTTCACCCGAGGGTTTAGCCGCTACCCTTCGATGCCAAGGGTCTAGGGTTTAGGGTTTAGGGTTTTGAGCCTCGAGTTTAGGGCCTGGACTGGGCATACGCCTCGCTGCAGGACAAACGTAGGGTTTACGGTTAGGATTTATCCTTGGGGTTTAGGGTTTAGGGTTTAGGGTTTATAATTTAGGGTTTAGAAAGGGCCTACAGCTCCCAACAGTAGAGATTCAGGCTGGACATACACTCGAGCCCCATCTCTTGCTTCTCTCTTTGCTTTCTGTGTTTTTTTAATTCCATTTTAATTCCATTTTAATTTCACTTTAATTTCATTTTAATTTCATTTCAGTTTCACCGTAATTTTATTTTAAATTCGTTTAATTCTTTTTGCTGCTTCAGGAGAGCTAACAGGCGAAGCAGCAGAGCCAATTGTCACTGCTGAATTCAAGGCCAGCACCCTCATTCAACTAGCAGTGCAGCAGCAGCAGCAGCGCCTGCAGCAGCAGCAGCAGCAGCAGCAGCAAAAACAGCCGCTGCCGCAGCAGCAGGAGCTGCAACAAAAGCGAGCAGCAGAAGACACCTAAGAAGTCGGCGGCAAGGAAAAGGTCTCTGTGGTTGAGGTGTACAGACGCCGCAGACCTGTCTTTCTCTTTTGCACAAAATGCAATTCCTGCTGCAGCAGCAAGCAGCATGGGAATATCGCTGCCGCCATCTCCCGCTGCTGCTGCAGGCTCAAATGCAGCAGCAGTGGGAGATGGCAGCAACGATATTCCCATGCTGCTTGCTGCTGCAACAGGAATTGCATTTTGTGCAAAAGAGAAAGTCAGGTCTGCGGTGTCTGTACACCTCAACCACAGAGACCTTTTCCTTGCCGCCTACTTCTTAGGAATAGACTACCCGGTATTCCTGCTGCTGCTGCTGCTGCTGTTGCTGCTGTTGTTGTTGCTGCTGCTGCTGCTGTTGCTGCTGCTGTGCTTGCTGCTGTTGTGTAATTTTGTTCTGGTGGTGTCTGTAGCGGCGCTTGTGTCACAGAGCTGTTGTTGCTCCTGCTGCTGCCGCCGCCGTTGCTGCTTACTTTTGTTGCTGTTGCTGTCGTTGCAACAGCAGCCGCCTTCGCTGCTGCTAATGATGTTGCCGTTGCTGCTGCAAAAGCTGCTACTGCTACTTCTGCTGCTGCTGCTGCTGCTGCTTCAATTCTCAGGTTAGGCAACAGGTGGAAGGCAGCAAGACGTTGTCTGAGGAGCCTGCAGCAGCAGCTGAAGCAGCAAAGCCTGCTGCCCCACCTGCTGCTGCTGCTGCTGCTGCTGCTGCACCTGCTGCTACTGCTTGCCTTTCATCGCATGCAGAGCAGTAAACCAGAGCTCTGGCGAAAGCAGCAGCAGCAAGTGCTGCTGCATCTGATTGGTCACGGCGCAGCAACCCTGCTCCTGCTGCTGCTGGCACCTGCAACACCGCTGCTGCTGCTGCTACTGCTGCTACTGCTGCTGCTGCTGCTGCTACACTGGTTCTTCTGTGCTTGGCAGCAGCCATCTTTACAGCTTTTGCCTCTTTAGTTTGCTTCGTTGCTTTCCTTAATGTAGCTTTTATTCCATTTCTGGTGTCTGTACACCTCAGCCACTGAAACTCATTTTTGCGTCGCCTACTTGATCTTGCTGCTGCTGCTGCTACTGATGCTGCTGCTGCTGCTGCTGCTGCTGCTGCTGCCGCTGCTGTTCCCTGCTGCAGCATACTGCAGCGCTGGGCTGCTGCTGCTCATTACCAGCTGCGGCTGAAGATAGAACAATCAAAGCCCTCACCATCGCCCGAGCTAGCTGGCCACAGCTAGCTGCGGCTATCTAGCAAGGGCTAGCTAGCCACAGCTAGCCGTGGCTCGCTAGCTATCTAGCTAGTGCTAGCCAGCTGCGGCTAGCTGGCTGTGGCCAGAAAGCTGCAGCTAGCTAGCTATGGCTAGCTGGCTGTGACCAGAAAGCTGTAGCTAGCTAGCTATGGCTAGCTAGCTGTGACCAGAAAGCTGTGGCTAGCTAGCTATGGCTAATACAACTAAATGCAAAATGGATTTATTTGCAGCTTCGAAAATTCCAATTTCGGATTTTTTCTTTTTTGCAAATGCATGCGTTTTGCAAGAAATAAAAACTCCAGAAATGCCTTTTGTCTCTTGCTGCTTTTCAATTACCAAAAGATGAAATAATAAATAATTAAATTTAAACAATTTTTTTATTTATTTGCAAATATTAAATGAGGGAAGCAAACAGAGTTCACGAAATGTGCAAAAGGACATTTTGAATCTTCTTGGTCAATTTGCATGCACAGGAAAAGAAATACAAAAGATTTATGATTGAAAGAAATACAAATTTAATAAATCATTTATTTCTTTCAATTACATAAATCTTTTACCTTCGCTTTTCCCTCCGTGCATGCAGCCAATGCAGCCGATCTGGCGGCGCAGCAGCAGCAGCAGCAGCAGCAGTACTCGGTGCTGCAGCAACAACAGCAGTACTCGGTGCAGCAGCAGCAGCAGTACTTGGTGCTGCAGCAACAGCAGCAGCAGTACTACGTGATGCAGCAGCAGCAGACGGATCTGTTGCCTCCTGACAGGAGGATCCTCTTGGCAGGCTAAATTCAATCAAATTTAAAAGAAATAAATCTGTCTTTATTCTTGAACTAAATTTACTTCTGCTGCCTCCTGAAATAATCTCTTTAACAGATTAAATTTAATAAAATTGCTGCGAAGGCTTTTGCTGCTTGCGCCAGCAAGCAGCAGGAAGAAGTCATCCCTCAAGGCTAAACAGTGGTTCTGCTGCTCCCGCAGCAGCAGCAGCAGCAGCAGAAGCTGCTACTGCTGCTGCTGCTACTGCTGGCCACACCGCAGCAGCAGCAGCTCCGCAGCAGCAAAACTGTCACTGCTACTAAGAAATCTCACATCAAGAGAACTCTTGCGTGGCTAACAGCTGCAGCAGCTGCTGCCCTGCGGCAGCAGCAGCGACACTGCTGCTGCTGCTGCTGCTTTCTCCTCTGTCGCTACTGAAGTAGCAGCAGCAAAAGCCGCAGAAGTAGACGCAAGCATTCCTGAGTGTAATCGCCCGCCGTTGCACACAACGGCGCTGCTGGTTGCTGCTGCTGCTGCTGCTGCTGTTCCTGCTGCTGCTGCTGCTGCTACAAACCCCAGATGTGACTACAGCCTCAAGCTGCGCCTTCTGCTGCAAGGCGGCCCTCATCACTATTCACAAGCGCCTGCTGCTCCTGATGCTGCTGCTGCAGCTGCTGCTGCAACTGTTGCTGTTCCTGTTGTTGCTGCTGCCCTGCATTTTGCTTCATTTCGTCAAGTTGGGCCATTGCGGCTTGCTGCAGCAATTGCTGCTGCTCTCGCAGCAGCAGGTCCTGCTGCTGCGGCAACACTAAGTGATGCTGCTGCGGCTGCTGCTGCTGTATTTGCTGCCCCGCCAGATCCGGCTGCATCCGCCGCAGCACCCCATTGCAAGTTACGCTAGAAAAAACCTCGCTGCCTGTAGCCACATCTGGCTGCTGCTGCTGCTGCTGTTGTTGTGACAAGTTTGTTGCTGCGGCACTAGGAAGTGCCTGTTGTTGCTGCTGCGGCGCTGCAGGAACAGCAGCACCAAGTGCTGCTGCTGCTGCTGCTGCTAAGTGTGGGGCAGCAGGAGCCTGCTGCAGTGTGTCTTCTGCTGCATGCAATTGCTGCTGCGCCGCAGCAGTGGCCCTTTGAATGTCGCCGTTTCCTGTGCAGCAGCTGCTGCTGCTGCTGCTGCTTGCTTCCGGGGTCAGCAGCTGCTGCTGCGTGCGTTCTGCTGCTTTGAACGGTGCGGGACTCACTGCAGCGCCCCCAGCAGCAGCAGCAGCAGCAAGGGACTCTGTCAGCTCTCCGATTCGCAGCTGCAGCGCAGCGAACTCTTGGTCAATTGTTTGCTGCTGCTGCTGCTCCTCCGCCATTTGCCGCTGCAATGCTGCTGTTTGCGCCTGCAGCTCCACTGGGCTGAGGTGTATCTGCTGCTGCAGCGCCGCAAGCTGCTTCTGCGTCAGCAGCATTCTCCTGCGCACGTTCTCCCGCTGCTGCTGCAGCAGCAGCTGCTGCTGCTCGTAGTTTTGCAGCCGCAGCCGGTGCCCTTCTAAAGCTGATGCAGCTGCGTCGCCGTCAGCAGCAGCAGGACTTGCTGCTGCTGCTGCTGCTGCGCTCGCACGCTGGTGACGGGTGCTGCTCTGCTGCTGCTGCTGCTGCTGCGACTGGCGGACTCTGCTGCGGCTGTTGCCTTCGGTTCGCTTCTCAGACCTCCTCGAGCGGGAGCCCGTACTTGCTGCTGCTGGCGACTGCAGCAGCACCTGCTGCTGCTGCTGCTGCTCCTCTTCTGCCGGCTGCTGCAGCGCCGCCTCCTGCTGCTCTGCGTCCATCTCCGATACCTGCAGCAAGCAGCAACAGCAAACAGCAGCGGCAAAGCGCATGCATCATCCTGGCTTCCGCCGCAGGCTAGCTAGCTAGCTAACTGGAAAGACGCACAAAAGAGCTATTCAAAGGGCTCTACAGCTACCTGCCTCAAGGGCAGCTGCAGGCAGCCAGCTTGCTACTTGCTCGATTCTAGCTAGCTAGCTAGCTAGCTAGCTAGAAGTATGTTTAAGGCTAAGGCGGCTCTTTAGTTATCTGCTCTTTGGAGCAGCTGCGCCTAGCTAGTCAGCTAGCTAGCCTGCCAGTTAGCCCGCTAGCTAACCAGCTAGCTAGCCAGGTAGCTAGCTGGCGAGCTAGCTAGCTGGCTAGCTAGCCAAGTAGGCACTTGCCTTCCTCTCCAGTCGCGCTCGCCACCGCTCCTCCCGCGTTGCTGCTGTGTTGATCGGTTTGCTGCTGCTCTCTTCGAGCTCGCCCTCAACTTCCAGGTAGTTCACTGGCTTCCGCTCCCGACGCCCTGCAGCAGCAGCAGCAGCAGACGCAGCCAGTGATGCCCAGGAGGGGGAACGCGGACAGGATGGTACAGCAGCAGCAGCCTCAGCAGCAGCCTCAGCAGCACCGCAGTAGCAGCAACAGGAGCAAAAGAAGCACCAAGAACCACAGCAGCAGCAGCAACAGCAGCAGCAAGACAAACCCGTGACGACGCCCCACTGGGCCGTCTCCAGCTGCCTTTCCACGGCCTTCCGGCGTCTCTCTTCTCTGCTGCGCTGCCGCTGCTGCTGCAGCAGCAGCTGGTGCTGCTGCAGCAGCTGCTGCGCCAAGTCCGCCATCCCCTCCTCCTGAGGAAGCAGCAAACAGCAAAACACAAAAGCCTTAACTGCAGCACAAGTGCAGAAGCTTTGGCAGCAGAAACAGGACTTCGCATGCCGCTGCCGCCTGCTGCAGCAGCAGACACCGGAAGCAGCAGCAGCAGCAGCGGGATCATCAACAGCGCTAATACAAGCGACAGCGGGCGCAGCAGCAACAGCAGCAGCAGCAGCAGCGGCTTACTGCTTCTAGGCTCGTCGCTATGGACTCTAGCGACGGCAAGTCCTCACTCAGCAATTCGTACCGCCGCTGGCTGACTTCTTCCTGCTCGCAGCAAGTGCCCACAGGAGCAGCAGCTAGCTAGCTAGCTAGCTAGCTAGCTAGCTAGCTGGGTGGCTAGCTGGCTAGCTAGCTGGCTAGCTGGGCAGCAGGAGCAGCAGCTACCTAGCTAGCTAGCTAGCTGGGTGGCTAGCTGGCTAGCTGGCTAGCTGGTGGCTAGCTGGCTAGCTGGTGGCTAGCTGGGCAGCAAGTGAGTGGCTAGCTAGCTAGCCACTTAACCACCACTAGGGCCGGCAGCAAAGGCTACAGCTCAGCAGCAGCGGCTGCTGCCGCCGCAGCAGCAGCAGCACAACCCACCCGAAGGCGCCACAGCAGCAGCAGCAGCAGCAGCAGCAGCAGCAGCAGCAGCACTCACCCTGTAGAGCTTGAAGGCCGCAGGGTCCCCCTGCTGCGTGACTAGCCAATAGAGATGGCCCGCCCCGTCTTCTCCCACGAGCGCGTCGCAGCCAAAGCCCTCGGGTGCTGCCTCTCCTACGTACTGCAGCAGCAGCAGCAGCAGCAGCAGCGGCAGCAGCAGCAAACGGACAGAACTGGATGGCTAGCCAACGGGCAGACACGTAGTAAGCCCCCTTCGCCGGAAGGCCCCTTGCCAGCTAGAGCTACGGCCCAGCCGTTAGGCCCCACTGGCGTAGCTAGCTAGCTAGCCAGCTAGACAGCTAGCTATCTAGCTAGCTAGCTAGACAGTAGTGAGCTAGCAAGCTGGCTAGCTAAACAGCGAGCTAGTTAGCCAGCTAGCCAAGTAGTGAGCTAGCTATCTAGCTAGCAAAGCAGTGAGCCATTTTGCTAGCTAGCCACGCAGCCAGCTAGCACTCCAGCTAGCTAAATAGTGAGCTACTATGCCAGCTAGCTATGTAGTGGGGCTAGCTAGCTGGCCGTATGGCTAATCGACGAACAAGCTAGCTAGTTAGCTGGCTAGCTAGCTAGCTAGCTAGCTAGTGAGTTGCCTCACCCGCGCGATTTGGGGGCTTTCTGACAAAACCAGCGAGATCAGCGCACGCAGGAAGCGAAGACGCTGCAGCAAAAGCAGCAGCAGCCAGCAGCAACACAATCCTGTTCGGGCGCTGGCTGCAGCAGCAGCAGCAACGGCAGTAGCTCCAGCAGCAACAAGCAGCTGCAGCAGCGGCTGAAGCATGTAAAACAGGCAGCAGCAGAAGGCAGCTTCAGCAGGCAGCAGCAAGCAGGCACAGCTGATAGCAGCAGGCAGCTGCAGCAGGCAGCAACAAGCAGCAGCAGCAGCAGCAGCAGCAGCAAGTGCACCTGCAGCGGCTTGAGGTGGGCCCAATCCGTGGGCCCTTCTGAAGATTCAGCAAAAGGCCTCAGAGGCAGCAGCAATTCTGCTTCTCCTTTATCCTGCAGCAGCCGGCGGACAGACCTTGCTGCTCTCATGGGGGGCCCTGACTTGCGTCCCAGCAGCACGAAGAGCCGCTGCAGCAGCCGCTGCATGGGGTCTGGCGCTGTTGCTGCTGCTGCTGCTGCTGCCGGTGCTGCTGCTGCCGCTGCTGCGCCTCCTGCTAAGTCGTCTTCGCCCCCGATCTCCTCCCACTCCCAGTATGGCGCGCTCCCTGCTGCCTCCAGAGCTGCTGTTGTTGCTGCTGCAGTTGCTGCTGCTGTTGCTGCTGCGTTGCTGCCCTCGCTGCTCGCGCTGCACGCCTGCACGCAGCTGGCAGCAGCTGCTGCTGCTGCTGTTTGTGAGAGCTCGGCACAGAACTGCAGGAAGCCCTGGCTGCGGCGGATAGTGCCGGGGGCAGCAGCAGCAGCGCCTTGCTGCTGCTGCTGCTGCTGGGAGTCTTGCTGCGTCTGCGTCTCGTCGTCTGCCTGCTGCTGCTGCGAATCTACAGTTGCTGTTGGCGTTTGCGGGTTGCTTTGCTCTGGGGTTTCTGGCGTGTCTGCTGCTGCATCTTGCTGCTGCGTCTGCTGCTGGCGCTGCTGCTGCGGCTTTTTCCTGGGGCGTCTGCCGCCCTGTGTGCCAGCAGCAGCGCGCTGCTGCTGCTGCTGCTGCTGCTGC